TTGTGCAGTGTGGGTTACCCTAGGAGCAGCTATGCAACTAGCTAATTCTATAGGGACGTTTTTGGAGTACATGCGATGATGCAGTATACAGTATCATCCAATACATTAGGTGTGATCCAGTGCGCACAGGTGGTTAGGTTACACCCAAGATGCTGTCTAAGCACATCAATAAATAAATCCTTCCAAAGTTTGAGGAAAATCTCCACTCATGAATTGTATACTTCGCTGTAATCACTGGATGCATAGAATGGGTATGGAATTTAAGCCTTATTTGAAATGACTTTATTATGATGGCCATGAGCGTGCAGATGTTGTACTTTATCAAAAAGAATATGACAAACGTCCGAACGATTTCATCAAGCGTGAACAAAATTTTATTGGAAACAGCCTCAATATTCCTGTTTATCCAACACTTACAGGCTCAGATTGAGAGGTTGTTTGGGTTTATCATGACAAGTGCACACTCCATACTGGGGAAGAGCCAAGGATGGGATGGTTTGCAAAGAATGACTCCGCACTCAAAAGGAAGAGCGACGGTAAGCTTATTCATCAATCCGATTTTATTGAGAAGAAGCATGGACACCTTGCTGTACCTCCAGATACAGCCACCAGCCTGCCCTTCAAGGACGCTGCTGTTGTAATCTACCCTGGGGCTAAAGGAGATGACTGGTGGAATTGTCATCAATTAATCAATCAAGTAGTAGATCTTGCGATCCTGATGTTTGAATTCCTCAACCCAAACTGCCAAGGTTGTTGTGATGGTATTGTGTAAGGTGGTCAAAGATCATTACCTAAGTAGGGTATGAAGGCTTAAGGCGTGTACAGGTGTTGAAATGGTTGACTTCCTCTTTTGGAAATCTTCTGTCTCTTTTGGGATTGATGAATCAAGGGGCACTTATGTTAGGCGTGAATTTGTTGTTGAGATGTATCAAGGGATGGGAGAATTTTTTCTGGGTCTCTTTTATGTTTTCAGTTTCTCCCAATTTCACTTTTTCTGATTCTTTTCGTGTCAAAAAGAATCAGTAAGTCAATCACCTTATTAGTTATCATCAAATCTTTTCTAAACACTAATCTTCTTTATTTTGTTTTATCTTTTGCTGGGTTATGTTTAAGAACATCATTTATTGTCTGTTAAACTTACCCTGTACCACGCGCCGCTTAATCTCTTCATTCGAGCTCGCAGGTAGATTTCTTTCTGTCTCTTTGTTCACTTTTTAGTTGGTGTCGAGTCTGATTCCTTTTCCATATCTTTTCTCTTGTTTGTTGTCTCTGAACCTGAACAGGTCAGTATTATCTTTGTTCTCGGTGTAGATCAGCATTAAGCTTGAAGTGTCTAACTGGAACACTGTGCCCTCAGGTGGGTGTCAAAAAGAATCAAACATCATTTATTGTCTGTTAAACTTACCCTGTACCACGCGCCGCTCAATCTCTTCATTTGAGCTTGCAGGTCAGTATTATCTTTGTTCTCGGCGTAGACCAGCATCAAGCTTGAAGTGTCTAACTGGAACACTGTGCCCTCAGGTCAGTATTATCTTTGTTCTCGGCGTAGACCAGCATTAAGCTTGAAGTGTCTAACTGGAACACTGTGCCCTCAGTTTCCCTACTTCATCACTTCTAGCTAAGACACATCTAGGATATACTCTTTGAGACAGTTAAAAGAATTCTTTCAAATCTTTTCAAAGGTCTATTCATATTTGACTGCTCCTCTGCTCATGAATCATTTGCAACCAATGCACTCCGAGTTCAATCAATGAACCTTATCCCTGGTGGAATCAAACCAAAACTTCAAAACACCACCATCCCTGTTGATGATCCCAACATCCCTCAAAATCTTCGTGGAATTACACCAACAATGACCTTTGCAAACAATCATTCGGACTCAACTCGCTGGAAAATCAAAGGGTGTTAGACAGGTCCTTGCTGAGCGTGGTTTATGGGATCACCACAACAAACAACGCCAGTTGTGAGGACTTCCAACCATGACACTGAAATGTGCTGACTGCCGGAAGACCGGTCTTGCTAAAGACAAGATCTTTTGAGCCGAGCGCCTTCTCCGAGATCTTGAAGTGATCAATCCTAATCTCATTTCACCTGCGAGCAAAGCTTCAGAACAAGTCATTGACTGCTGCACATTCAAAGTCCTTTCGAGCCAGTCTGACTTTGCTAACAAAAAACCAAATCTTCAGATGGTTATTGAACAGGCAGGTCACTGATGTATGTTCTTACCCAAATTCCACTTTGAATGGAATCCAATTGAGCTTCTTTGGTGCTTTACAAAGCGGGGTAAGTTTTTTCTCTTTGAATCCTTATATCTCAAGACCTCATCAACTGACAACAAACACGTTGCATGATGATCTAGCGTATCGGCCATTGAGCGACACAGCTGTCACACTGCAACAATCAAAGGACCTATGGGAAAAGGTAAGGACAAGTTGCCCTCTCATCACTATACAAAGATTTTTCAGCAAGGTTGACCGATTAAGAAACCAACTCATGTAAGTACTTTATATGGAACATCAACCTGATCAGCCAGAATCACCAATCATCTTTATCATCCTTCTCTTTAGGCAAAGGGTAGTCAGAATTGATGATACAGCTCAGGTCTACAAGTCTCATTGCCGCATCTTTGACTCAGCTGCATCTGAAGAAAATCTTTGATCGGTTTTGTTTTTTTACATTTTCCATCTTTATTTTTGTTTTTTCTTCATTTGTTCTTTTTTCTTCTGTCACACAACTTCCTTGTCTTTCTGTATAACTAAACATCATCTTTCATCTTCATCTTATATGTGAAAAACACACGTAGTTAGAGAATCAAATAGTAATTGAGGTCTTTTTTTGAGAAAAATAAAAAAACATCGGTTTTCTTTAAAAAGATATGCAGCAATAGCTCTGGATGAGAGCATTCCAAAGGCCATTTTTTTGGAAAAGGTGATGTCTTGGTATAGATATACCCCTTTGAAAAAAAACAACCAAAAAGATATAAATGGAATGCACTTGATGAGAGCATCCCGAAACTCCAATTGTCTGGTTGATACGATAAGTTTTGAGGTGTAGTGATTGTTTTGGGCCTTGGTTTGGAATTGGCAACGAATTGCCTCCACGCACTATACATGTACCCACAAAAAGTTGACATAATGCCAAAAACAAACTTAAGAGCAAAACAAAACAACACAAAATCAACCATACAACAAAAAAACTGTGCAAATATCTCACAAATCAGTAGTTGTGAATCCATCTGGAGTGTCAGAGTTGAAATCAAGGTGTTTAGAACCACCATAACCTGCTCCACTTTACATATTTAATTAGAGTCGTTACGGATACTGGGTTTGGGACAAACTGCAGAACTTGAATGATTAGGTAAATCACATGAAGGGGACTATGATTATGATTCCTAGGTGTGGGGATGTGTACACTTGAGCACTTATGTTGCCTCTGAAAACATTGTCAAAGTTCAGTCAACATCATCTTGAAGAGGACAAATTGGAGACCTCTCTGTGAGTCCTCCTTACAGCTTCTTACTACAACCCTCTTCCTTGGCGCCACTCAGGTTCAGTGTCAGTGCAGTGTTGTCATTCTGTCACAGGGAAATCACACATTGGAGATTCAACAAGGGGGAGGATGACAGCACTCAAGTTTTGTTCCCCCTAATCATCATATTTACCATGGCACAGATAAATTATTTTTCCAAAGTGAAAAATGATTGAAAATGCAGAAATTCTGCTCTTATTCTGCATGTACATTGACACTGCATTTTTAGTCATTTTTGACATCAATCAAAATCATTCTGCATAGCAGAAAAATATTACATCCATGCAGTCATGTATAACTAGACCAGTGGGCATCAAATTTGAAGTCTGTTGGATTTGTCAATTTTTGAAGTTCTGATTTCACTCTCATATTGTGAAAAGTTTATTCCAAGGGATAATCTTTCAAAATATATCACATATGATCCAAAATCCAAAATCAGCCAGTCTCAAACCAAACCCAGTTGCCAAAACAACCAGTACACCTAGTTGTCTTTTTGGCTGGGAGGTGTCAAAAATTTCAACTCAATACACAAAGTGACTGTCAAGAAATCAACTGGGTGTACCAGGTTTATTGGCAACCGGATTTGGTTTGAGACCGGCTATTGTATTTCACTTTCAAGTTTTCATTTTTTTGGTTTATTAATATTGGTTATGACATTTATCAGTTTTACAACAAGAAGAAAAAGAAACCAATTTTGGAGAATCAGGGTTTGAAAATTTTGAGTATTGGACTTATGATATTTCACCCAACATCTGCCTGAGAAAATTCCTATTCAAGTATGTGATTTGTGAATGGATTGTTTTGTAAAGAAACAACAATGAGAATGAGTAGGATTGACATGAGAGATGATACTGTTTTGTCACCAATGTGTTTTGCAATACACATGGCTTGACAAAAAAAATGTCCATGATGGCTAAAGGATTGTTCTAACTTTTGAAGGGCAATCAACCAATTCTATCTTGACTATGTGTGGTTTGGTGCTCAAGGATGATATTTTTCAAAAATGGTCCTTACTATCTGAGCAGCTGCTTTGAGAAAGAAAAAACATGTGGTACAAGTGCAATGTAAAAATAGTACACATAATTGACATGGCCTGGCTATGTTACCAAAGGATAATTAAGCACAATGAAACTATTTATTAGGTAACTTTTGTACAAAGTTTTATCAATACTGGCAAAAAAAAGAATGGTGACCTGCAAATTTAGTGAAAAAAGACACAACACAAGAAATTTGTAACAATACATTTGTGAAATTATGAGATGAAGTGAGGTGATGGTGTAATGTGTGGTCATCAATTCTAATAGAACTACTTGACTTGTCCTTGACCCTTGATATTAGGTTTTGATTGTTGAGAATCCAGCCATCTTTCCCCAGAGGAAGCTGGTGGCCAGGAAATCAGGGGGATGAATATCAGAAAAGGCACATTGACCGAGAAAAACGATATAGAGTGTGAAAACTTGGCGTACCAAACTTCAAAAGCCTTTTCGCAGCTCTTCGCCCGTATAACTAAAGTGAGATACGGGGTATTGTAAATCAGAGGGATACAAGGCGTGCGCCTTGGGTTCTGAGCGGTTCCTCTGAGCCATATGAAGCTGAGCAACGGGGAGGCCGGTCAAGTCTGGATATCGGATGCGTTCCATCGAACGCATGGAATGAGTAGTATTCATGGCTTCCAGTTGACCCGTTGAATGGAAAGGATAAGAGGGAGGATTTTGCATTTGGTTCGAAGATGGGGAGTCTCCAATCCCCCCGAGCTTTTGATTTTTCCTCTTAAAAGAAAACCGAGAGGCTGAAATGGGAACAAACTGAGCCGTATCGCGACGTCGATCGTTGGCTCTGTGACGCCGCTTGACGAGAATGAGTAACCCCGACGCTCCAAATATAATGAAGACCAAAACACCTATCAATGGACCTACTACAGATAATATGTGACTACCTTGGTGGTGAGAACCAGAAGCTGACAGGGAAGATAAGGTGGGAGAAGTGATAGAATTGTTCTTAGCGGCTATCGTCAAAAGATCCGTTGTAGTTGAGGTGTCCAAAGTGAATGAATCTATTGGGCTAGGGCTTGGAGTTGGACGGACATTTGGAGTATCCGTAGGGGACGCAGTAGAAATTATAGGAGTGAGTGTCGTAGTAGGATGAATCGGCAAGATCGGGCGAATGGAGCTTGGCGCAGATGATTGCAAGGGAGTATCTGGTGAGTTGGAAATTGGTTCGACAACATGATGAGGGATAACGATTCCTGTTGGGTGAGTTTCGGGAGTATTCACAATTGTAGCCATTCACTTAGATGTGATCAAACTTTGTTAAAGGTGGGACTTGATCGCTGGGCGTCTGAAAGTTCAAGACTGAGGTTCAAGGATTGTATTTCGGAGGAAATGGTTTGATTGGATGAGAAAGAAGGATGGCTGGACAAGAAGTGAACGATTGGTCATCGGGGAAAGGTGTTCTTCCTGCAGAGAAGAGTTAACTTTGATAGTGGATGAATCAGTCGGAACATTTCCGGTCAGAGTGAAGAATGTCCACCATGGCAGGAAGACTCCAGGAGGACCAACAGAGCCACGTAGATTCAATCCGGCTTGTTCAGATCCAAAAGCTGGTCTGGCCACATGAGGCACTTGGACGCGTTTCGGGACATATTACATTACATTGCGATATCCATGAGCTGCATTGTCCAACTGCACTTTAGCTATTGGTATCAAGGGTTTGGAGCAGTTTTCTGGCCATGTATATTTGTTTGTAAGTATATGCAAATATGATGTTGATGAGCACCACAGCCATTCCAAACCAGCCATCTTCTCCTTTCTTGAGAGGCTTTTGCTCACTCGGTGCAATGACAGCACGATGCCGAACAAGTACAGGACTTTCATCAAGTGCATCTTCTATTCATGTTAGGCATTTTGTCATTTTTAAATCCACATCATTCTCTCGGAAGCTATCTCATCCCCAGTCAGTCATCAGCCAATTTGCCTCGTAATCGGAGAAGCTCTTTTGCTTCTCTTGCTGGTCTACCGATAACCGGCGGCTAGGAAGAGAAAATGGGTTCACCATCAGCTGGGCTCAAACTCGATATAATTGTTCATAAATCTGTTCCTATGAGATGTAGAAGTGGATTCAGTCGCTGTCACTTACCTGAACTTCTGCGGCAATTGCCAAGATACGCGAAGTGATTGGCTCATCTACGCCCATCTGCTGGATAGCGTCACCAGCGAGCTCAACCAAATCTCGCAAACACATGATCGCCAATGGTGTTGTAGGATCGGCAAGCAAATATCTGGGTAGTTTTCAAATAAAGTTGCGATGAGGACGCCGATCTAGTTCAAGCAAACACTCAAAGCACCTACATGTTAAGAGCATGGAATCCTGGCGTTTGGGTTTGTGCAATTGCTGACACTAAGCGGGCCATCGCGTTAGCAAAAGGTTCAAGATGCCGCGGTGCCTGCAAAGTCTCTTCCGTGAATGATATCAATGAAGACATAACACTATCACTAATGTTCATGCCACCATTGCAGGTTACGGCCGCGAGAGCAGACGTCATCGACTCTTGTATCTCGTCGTCTTCAGCACCTCTTATCGCTCCCAACAACTCTGTGACAAGAGGATCCACCCGTGGTTGGTGTTTCATCAAGAGCCCAAGAGCCGTCACTGCTTTGCTTCGAACTGTACCCGAACTCATATCAGATGCACATTTGACAAATGTACGTTGAAGCTGGGGAAAGAAGGGTTTAACAAATTGAGGTATCTGCTGCAACAGGGTAGCGGATGTTTGTAGGATAGCCGACTTGACCGGGGCGGGGAAACGATCTCCAACCTAAGAAAAAGGCAGTGTCAGATAACAGAGGGATCAAGAAGGTACACAAGATCAACTGACGATTCGAATGAGGGGGCCTGTGATTTGGGTGACATAAGGTTTAATGAACTCTTGTGACGTTCGTTCCACAACATCGCCAAAAGCCAAGGCGGCCTGTTCACGTTGTTCTGCGGTACCTGTCAGGATACCTTGCAGAAGAATGGGCATGATAGGCCTCAGTCCCGACGGTCGGCAAAGACTGTGGGTACGGGTCAGTTATGATATTGCCATACGAGAATGAAATGCTTGGATTTATGCGAGAATGCGTACCCCGGCAAATGTCGGCCTGGCAAGCCAGTGGTCTCGATCGTTCGTCGGAGAGGGACCACGAGGCTGTCAAGTGAGGCTTTGGGTATAGTCTTGACCATCTCATCCATGGCCATCCACGATGAATCAATCACTTCTGGGACTGGATCTTCAAAAAGTGAAAATAGCTGCCGAATCCAGAGGATGTGATATTCTGACCCGTCACTGGTGTTGGAGGAACAGAAGATCCCGAAAAGATTACAACCGTCGATTCGTTGGGCCGGTGAAGGTGACTTGGCAAGTTCAAGCAAATGCATCATCAACGTGTTCATAGCATCTGATTCTTTTATGCTATCAAATAATACACGCAGTGAATTATCCAAAGCGGTTCGAATGTCTTCGTCTTGCTCTGTAAGCCATGCTGATCTTAGGCTGTCGACAATCGCACACAAGTATCTATTGACTGAGCTGCCGGAAACCGAAACAAGACTAGCCAGTGCCCTGGCATTGAATGCTGTGATCGGGGATTTAGTGAGTACTGGGAGTAATCTGGGCAATATGCTAGCAGCTCTGATACGCATAAGCTCTTTCAAGGCAGCGAGAGCAGCTTCTGATGCAGCGCCAGGTTGACGCAATGCGCTCAGTAGAGTGGGTAGCGTTTCCTCGACTGCTCGACTACCCACACGTTGTTGAAGAGAATCAAATGCCTGTGCAGCAGTAGATCGGACGCTTGGGTCTTGGTCCACCAAAGCCATCCTCACAATTGCAATGAGAGGTCCTTCGTGATCTTCTAGTTGATTCTGAGTGATACTGGAGATCACATCTATGATCGCCAAGCTCACACCCTGCCGAGTCCGAATGTCGTCAGATAGCATCGCTTTTTGGAGGATGTTTGTGATCGTGCTGAGAACGCTGTCGCCCAGTTTTTTAACCAAGTCACCCAGGGTTCGTGCAGCAGCCTGTGTGAGGAAAATCAAAATCAACATCTATCTCGGCGAGCTTGAAATCGCCGTTGCATACCTCCCGTTGTTCTTCTCCACTACTCGCTAGGGTGCGAATCAAGGTTTGCACTGGAATTCAAAAAAGTCAACAGTAATGAGCAATGACATCGACGAGGATCCCACAAAGGAACTTACTGAGGACTGGCATGATGTCACGGACGGTTTTGGGTGTATTCTGATAGGACGTGTGAGATGAGTAATCCGGTCGATCAAATCAAGCCACAATTTTAAAAAGAACGCTCACATGCACTAAGGCCTTCCAGATGTGAACTGAAGTTGACCGAACGATGCCAGATGAATCTTGGCGGATGATGTAGATTGCCGCAAGTACGCGATCGCGACGATCTTTTCCCAAGACATCGACTAGAGCGACACGAGAGGCCTCCGCGGTCGGCGCCACGGCGTCGTCCTCTTCTCCGTCGACGTCAATGTCTGCCTTGGCAGTGATGCCAGACACGCGGAACAACAGATCTCCTATGAGCTGGATTGAACTGTTATAGGCACATATTATAAATGTCAGCATTCAACAGGTACGCCGATAGCTATTTTCTCAGAATGCGCACCTTTGACGAATCCTCCAACTTTCGTGAAAAAGACCATGTTCAAGTTCTGGCAACAACAAATCGACGGCTTTGGCGCTATGATTGGTGATGATCATCCTTCCAGCTTTCATTGATGCGTCTCGCACGTAATCCGAATCATCCGCCAGACCATTCAGCACTGGCTGGATGATACGGCCGAGGTATGGTGAGAACCGGTCACCGTAGGTAGCAGGTAAAAAGATGAGCAGGGAAATGAACCCTTCTCGAACATAAGCCCTTGGACTGCTGGTATTACTGATGATTTCGGGTAATAAATCTTCAAGTTTTTCAATTCCAAGTCCTGACATGATTTCGCTGAGACCTTGCGCTGCACCTTGTTGATCGACACCACTGGCGTCGGCACAAAGCGTTTCAAATAATGAAGGGACGAGTTCAGGAAAACTATCTTCCCCTAATCGTTCTACGAGACTTCCTAGCGCTTTAGCTGCAGTCGCTCTAGCTTCCGGAACTGAGAAACAATGTCACCATCAGTACTGTCTGACACTTCGGCATTCAAGACTGGTGTTGAAATGAACTGACCAGGATCAACCAGCACTTGCCTGACTTTTGGCATCAGCTGGGGCAAATAAGGTGACAGATCTTTTGCCTCTGCTAGAGTAGCAAGGTTTCCCACGATTTGAGTCGCTTTGCGCTTGATGTCGGCGCTACGCTCTCGGAGGCCTCTCTCAATGATAGGGACGACTAGTGCGAGCGAAGATGTATCGATGTAATGTACGAAAGCAGTACCGAGTAGTCCCTCCAATGCTCGTGCTGTCTTCCGAGCTGGATCAACCAATGCCGCAAGAAGGATGTCCTGCATGGCAGAAATCTCGGGATTGGAAACTACTTCTCCGAACTTTTTGAGACTAGCATTGGCCGCTGCGCGAACTTGAGCGTGAGTATCAGTTAGGACTTCTGTCAAGCGTGGGATGATGGTCGGCAATGACATTGAAAGTTGTTTCGGGGCAAGATACGCCATCGCGCCCATTAATTCAATGGCCCCCTTTTTAGTCCGCCACTGCTTATCCTCAAGACCCTCTAAGAGAGCCGGCATAATCATCTTCACTGCGTGTCCAGACAATCCTTTCATGATCATTCGTGCAGTGTCTTGAATAGCCTCTCGGACATCGGCGGACCCATCACCAAAAGTTGATAGTAGTATCGATGTAGCCTGAACCAGATAAGGTTCAAACAACCGTCCAAGAGAGCTCGCTAGTATTTCGAACGCAAATAAGGCGCCCTGTCGACCGCGCGTGTTCTTTTTGTCTTCTAGAGCATCACGCAAGCTATCTATGATTGAAAAATCTTTCAACGCAGTTATACCTCGACCTTTGATAGCACCAGCTAGTCCGTAGGCGGCCCCGCGTCGCTCTGCGTATTTTGAGGCCGTCAGAGTATCTTGCAATAATCGCTGTATTAAGATTGGGACTCGATCTTGTTGTAAGCGAACCAAAGGTGGCAAACAATCAGACACTGCGCTCTGCACTACCTCCGAAGGCGTCTTCAAGGCATCAACCAGTCGATCGATCACTATTACTAAACGTTCATCTGTAGCGCTTAGGTGGCGAGCGAGCCGACCGAATAAGAGCACCGCAGACTCCGTGACATAATCTGCCGCGTCAGACCCAGTGCTGCCGCGTGTGAGAACCTCTTCGAATGTCGCAATCAATTTTTCTAGATGATGTGCTCCGTGCAGGTCAATGGCCGCATTCCCAGCCTACGCATAGGCAGTGTGGAGGTCAGACAGTGCCCCAAAGATGTTTGAAGCGAGACTTACCGCCAGCATCCTGGTGCGGACGTCCTCATTCCGATCTCCCAAGCTCTGCTTGACTACAAGAAAATCAAAAAGTGGTATAATGTCTTGTGGAGTCCAAAACGGTGCCAGGGCGCATAACGCATCAGCTTGAGCAAATCGGACCGGCCAGGGATCCTCCCTATCAAGAGATTCAGGTATGATCATCCCAAATTGATCATATTCAGGTACCAACTCTCTCGCCTACGCAGACAAGTTGATCTGAATCAGTATAATGCACCATTCCTGTGAATATATCGGCTCACGAGAAATTCATATCTAGATGAGATTGCTTGCAAAATCTGCTTGGACAGATGCGGCCTATCACCAACGGCCGAAGCAAGAGATTTGGCAGCGGCATTTCGAACAGGAGAAGCACGATGTTCTGATGGGTTTGTAGCGAAGCGTGAGTACGCATCAACATATGATCCGCATGAGTCACTAACCTAATAGTGGTAGTATAGAATCCAGACCCTGTTCGTGAGTCTTGAGACCATTCTCAGCCCACAAGTCCGACGCAAGATTTGCGTTTCGTTCATCATCATCATGACAAGCTAAAAACACTTCTGCAGACCAGCCGATGTCTGTCAAATCGAGCGGCTGGTGATTACAGAAAATAGGGTGGCATTGATCATTAGGATTTGTCGGGTTGTGTTGTTTGTGGTGATGACAGGTGCAAAGTCATAGGGGTCTAATGCCTACCAGAGCCGCCTGCAACGCTGCGTATCTCGCTTGGGCTTCAGGAGAAAGAAGTCCTCCGAGGAGTGTCTGTATGTCTTTGTCTGAAGCATCTACTGATATTGCTGATCCAATGCTGATCAGAGCCGTGGTTGCTGGCTTGATCAACTGCGGGAAAGCACCGATTACGGACAGACAATTCTGCATGATTGTCGACCGAAGATCATGAACCTTGCAAGCTGATAAAATTAGCAAGTAGATTAGTTATTAGGACGATCGCATCAATCGAGGAGTGTTCAGAACCAACCTTGTGGACCGGAAAAAATCATGATGTCCATCACCAAAGCAACTTGCTCGATCCCCTCTTCGATGTTAGTAGGAGTAACACCGATCCCTCTTGATTGTATGACGCGAGTCAAGAAAGGTGAGACGTAGCAGAAATTGAGGCCATCGAGGATCTGCTGTTCAGCTAGCGACCTTATCTTGTATAGAACGCGGGTCACGAGGTCTAACCGGACATACATAAGCAATGTGATCAAGAGGATAAAAGATAAACTGACCAACCACTTAGCGGTTCGGCAGTCACCTCTGTGGACAGCCCTTGAGCGTTCATACCACGCAAAACAGCAATGGTCAAGGGTCCTTGAAGGCTACCGAGCTTCGCCATACATAGTTGCCCGAGGGCCTGGAGACGGCGGCAAGGTGTGGAGTGAAGCATGAGAGGTCTTTCGAGTCCGATGTCAAAAGGACCTACTCACCGTGAAAGCAGATATTGCCTCAGGAGCCACCAGGCCCATCGCGTCCGTGTGCATCACAGCACTCAACTTTTCTACCAGAGTCGCGGTATAGTCGGCCAGTGTTTGCTCGGCGCCCTTGCGTGCCTCGATAAGGCTATGAATCAGCTTGAAGGCGTGTCTTAGCTTATGCAACGTTGTAGTGACATGCTTTCTGGTATCCGCCTCTTTCGCTAGCTGGGTCTCCACCAACGCTTTTTCGGCTTTACTCAGGACTTTGGTACCACCAGCTTTTTTTCGCTCAAGATCAGCACGTAACTCAAGCTCCCAGGCCTCGATAGAATTGTCTTTTCGATTCTTTGTTTGAGAGCTGTTATCCTTCTGGGAAGAAAGAACTGGAAAAGGGCTAGGCCGTTAGTATGGGGGCTCGTAGAATATATGACAATGTAGAGAGATGATTGATTAGTTATATCACACAGACTGACCATCAACATAGGTCTGTCCCACTGGTGTGTTCCATACACCTGTCTCGAATGTACCAATGAACGTGATGGCTTCAGACTTCAACGAATCCACAATCTCCGTGACATACATAGGAACAGCAATATCAGGAACCACAAAGCATAGACTGGATATAGATCGATATGCAGCGTCAGCCAAATGAGTCTGACGATTCGAATCCTGTGTTAGGACTGTCGTGACATTATTCTGAAGGCTCGTGAAGTTCGAGGTGATGACCGATTTTGGATCGAGTCCGGCAGAATGCACCAGGTCTATCCAGAAAAACGACAAAGGGTCTGTTTTGATATTTTCGGGGCAATGGATCTTGCGTGAGCGTACAATCTCCACCGCGGGGACAAGTAGCGAAAAAACTCGTACCAAAAAACACGTGATGACATACAACAAAGCATTCACTCAGAAGCATAACTCGAAGTGCTTCATCCCATTTGGCGGTCGCTTTGAAGAGGGTTGAAAATACGCATTTCATCCTTGACCATTTGATCGTATCGCCAGATTCGACGACCGACTGACAAGATACAATGTCAATAAATGAATAAATAGCTCAGTCTAGAAGACAAGTCGCGTGGTGTCCATCGTAGAGGCTGAACAAGGAAACGTACGGTAAGTAAAAGTTTCAAGCCGTCAAGAAGAACGTAGATTGTAACGCTAGGGTCAGCCTTGAACCAACAGCAAAGTGAAGAAAGCGCAAACTGTCGCGTGAGATGATAGGGTGACTCGGTGCATAAGAACAATACGGCCTGAGCATTCAAAATCCTGCGAGCGACTTTTCAGAGACTCGATGTAGTACACATAAAAAAGTATGTTGACATACCGGAATGCCGAATCTCGCTTTAGTTGTTCTAGGACGGTGCCAAAGACAGAATCCAGTGCACGAACAAGCCACATGCTCTCATCAACCGTAAAAGTCGCTCTTCGGTATAGTTTTTCAAGGTACATGAAGTTAGGCTTAGGTGGGCCGGCTGTAAGCGTTGTCAAAACTTGATTATTCTTTCGAATGGCTGAGATTAGAGGATGGTCACGAAACAAGCATGTGTTTGCAAGGGAGACAGCTACGTATCCTTCCAGAGGACCCGCTGCAGACGTGAGAGGGTTCGTAGATGCATTCTTCAGGTTCGCCTCGAAAGCCTTACTAAGTGGAGATGCGAGCAGCTCGACAGTAGATGGCATCACCTCGATGACAGGTTCAGAATCAGTTCTTTCGTAATTTGACTTCCAAAATACCAGTCCGACAGCATTACACGCGGTCCTTCTAGTCAGTGGTTTGATATCTTGCATCGCTTTAGTGATCGCCAACGCAGTGGGAGCGTCAAGCCCCTCACTGGAGAGTATGAATGAAAGGTGATTAGTGATAGCAAGCCGGAGTCCATTTAACGCTTCTTCGTTCGTCTCTTTCATCAGTGTGTCACAGCAGATGGTAACCAACTTAGATGAGTGCTCCCCGGGTCTCAAGCTTCCTAAAAAGTTCAATAAGGCCGCGCGATGTTCAGGGCTCGAGATTTTGCCCGTTTTGAGAGGAAGGCTGACTTCCTCGGCAATTGTAGGTACATGTGGACTAGGGATATCTTGAAAAACTGTTTCGAAAAAGGGTAGCAACGCTGTTTTGATCTCTGACTTGCTGCTTTTACTGGCTGACAAGAGAAGAGGCAAGAATTCTAGGCGGCTTTCCGCCGAAAGCTTGTGAGGAGACATATCAAGATAAATAGACAGCGCGGGCATAGCAATCTCAGGCGAGCGGAGCATCATCTTATGGGCGCTTGGAGCAACTTTTTCTGGATAATCTTCTGCAGTTGATGAGATCCGAAAAAAATCACCAAATGCGGCCGTAGTCCGAGAAGGGAGTTGCGTTCGAGAAGATAGAACTTGAGATATCCACCATTGAAGAATTTTATCCTACGAGATGTCGGTATATCAGCTGAAATATTCAACAGTGCAGAATCGTACCAGCGGCGTTTTGCTGAGTAGCCTCACCTTGTGGATCGAGATGTAGCCTAATCCTACACCGTCAACACTGCCTTTGTCTCTTTCTTTGCCGACTCTCAACCTTAAAGAAACGTCTATCACCAGGCCCAGGAGACAGGCATTGGCAGAAGTTGATGAAAGCTGTACCAAGATGTCCAAAATCTGTGGAATTTGCTCGTAGTTCTACAAATTCCTCGCAAAGCCTCATCAGTCGTGAAGATGGAACTAGAGTATACCAGTAATCACTCACATTGCGAATCACTCGTCTAGTTATGACCACAGCAGACTTTTGAAAGACCGGCCGAGTGGAAGCTGGGTCGTGCATGCTGTCTAATAGCTGACCTAGTGCGTTGAGCATCACGGCGAGGTCCTTGACGGTCCCCGATTTAGCTTCTTTGTGCGACTGGCATATCATGCCAAGAAGATGACAGGACCAGATCAGCATCGCCAAACGGGTACTCCCCGCACTCGTGGCATTGCCATGTGGGCTTTCGCAAAGCTTTGCAGACTCGTGTGATATCCACTTGATTATTGTCGACATGAGCTTGGGTTTTTCTCCATTTGAATTTTGTCCGGGGTCTATATCATTACGGCGGATGAGCGCTCCTAATACATTGAGTACAGCATTGCGCGATGCGGAGTCCTCGTATCTCGGAATCGTCTGAAACAACAGCTTGATCAAGTCCGACAGTTGGACTTGTGAAGCTGCACTCGTCCCCGTTACCAGCCGTAGCAGCTCATCAGTCAAAAATGGTATTCGAATTGAGATTTTAGATGTAATGATTTTAGGCCGTGCGCGCAGGTATAGATTATCCCAAGTAAGCTCGTTCATAGTTTCTTTATCGACTTCCTCGTCGTCGGACACGCCCTGTCCTGGTGATGTTGATGCGACCCAGTTCTTGACTTCAGTTGCTGGAGCCATCGTACGCGATACTCGAAGGTTTTAAGTGTAAGGGAGAAAGGATTCTATTCAAGCTTGGAAGTCGGAAGGCCCATGACTTCAGTCAAAGTGACCACAGTGCTGGTGTGCTGAAGTTTCGAGCGACTTTACCCCCGACTGAAGCATACACGATCACAGGTGACGGGCATAATCACGTGATTAGAAGGTCTGTTCTTTGCCGTTGTGCGGGTGTTTCGGGGCCTACATACGTGGCGGGCAGGGGTTTTGGAATTGAGGCACGCTTCAGCACGGCTTCGAGAGCTCTCAAAGGCAGGCCTATACATAGTGGGGGCTTTGGGACCTGCCTCCGAGGTGTGCAAAGGAATACGTCATGATCAGGTAACTACTTGGCTTGGAATCCATGGTGGCCTTACAGTCCTGGTGTTGGTTTCTTGATGTTTTGAGGTCAGCACACTTCAAGGGACCAGTACATCACTTACCCAATCTGGTGGTAGGTGCACCACCAACAAAGATGCCTTGGATTGAAACTGAGGTATCCTTGTGTGGCAATAGCCTTAGACGCAGCAGCTGGGTAATTGATCTGAGCCTCTGTGGCAATATTTGGGGCCAAAGAAAGCCTTGAATCAATTCCTTGGACTGTGTGTCCAGGAAAATCTATATCCAAAGATACCTTGATTGGAAAATCTGAAATACGTTGCTGGCAGTGGTGTGTTCCAGTTGGCTGACTTTCAAAGGAAGATTTGACCATTGGTATGGTCAGGAGGTGGTATGTGCAGTCATTGTGGGGATATGGGCAGGAGTTTGAGGCAGGCAGGATGCTAAAAGTGACCAATTCCCCCAGATTGACTTGGCAACTGAGATCAATAGACTAATACCACATAGCTACACCTTTCCATTATTTTTGCCTTTACCTGAAACCCCCTGTAAGATCAAGGATCACTCAATCTTCCCTGGGATGTGACTTGAAGGCCAAAGCCAGGACTGATAACCAATGTGGATTCCACTGGCCCACAGCCCCCAGCTACCAGGCTCTGGCAGGCCAGAGACTACCACAGCTTCATGAAAGATTGATGAAAGATTCAGAAAGATTTCAAAGTGACTTCAACATAATATCATGTGGGGCCATTTGCCTGTCAGACCACCAAAATTTCAATGTCAACATATGACATCATGAATCTGTACACACCTGCTCCTGTATTCACAGATCAAGAATATATAGTCTATTAAACTTTATCATGTAAATTGACTGAGTTATTGAGGTTTGAAAAAAAATCACGGATGAAAAATACTATTTTTGTACTATACACAAGACTGGAATCTTGAATATCTTCAATCTTTGTCAATATACATATACATTATATATGATAATATTTTCCACATTATGTTTCTCCACATTTCTGTTCCCTGCAGCCTTTGTCCATGGGTAGTATTTTTATATGTAATTGCGGATTATATACAGAAGTTGGATTTTCTGAAGTTCTTTGACCTTGAGGCAAATTGTGATGAAATGTAGGGCACAATTTAGGCACAAATAGACTGATATGGATGTAAATAATAATCTCCAAAAGTTTCTGCCATAAATTTAGGCGATTGATAAACAACACCAACTTCAAAACGATTTTGAAGCCGGGTTTTTTAGACTAGATTTTGTTTGAAGAATTACAGGCACCAAGAGCTGTACTGCTTCTACAGCCTTTGGACAGCTTCAGCTGCCTTCAGACTCTTTCTGAAGCCGGGTTTTTCTATCAAGTTTGGGTTTTTTTGTGTCTTTGTATTTCATTTTGAACTTTTTCATTTGGATTGTGTGAAAAGCTATGTCAGCAGAACTTGGGATAATTGTTTCCTTTGCTTCTGCTCAAACATGCTGATACAATGAGGGATAGGAAGAAAAAAACAGTTCGAGCTGTGTTTCCTCTCTTGAGCAGTGCCATCTTGCTCTACCCTCCCACTATGTTGAATTTGATCAGATGAACAAGACAATTGGCGTCTGGGGATTGCACCATACCAAGGCCCAACATGCTCCCATCTGGATCAGGAGCGGGTGGCCTTTATCAATCAATTTTGACAATCTCCCCAGGTATGTGACTAATTCAAGTTGTGAATAACACACTCAACTGCCTTCAATAACATCTGATTTGCCTCTGATCCCAGTTGTGTAGAGAAATACATCACCAATATCAAAAAGATCATTGATTGTCAGATTGAAAGCAAGTATCTCAACGGCAAGGTGGACATCTTGGACAGTAATGGTGTACACCTGATTGAGAGTTTTTGATAGACTAAAGAATTGAAAAGAAAGAAAATTGGATTTTTGGAAGCAAATAATATACTATAATGGCATGCTCTTTCTCAAGGTTATTTCTCATGAGTACACCAACAACCATGACAAAGCTCAGAAGCTCAAGATTGTCTTTATTGAAGACACCTGGGAAGGGCATAAAATTTGGCGTCAGATATGTATGCATGCAAATCAATACAAAACAAAAACCAAAAACCGGCTTCAAACAAAACAAAACAACAGCTTCAGCAAACAAGAAATCCGGATTCAGAAAGAGTCTGAAGGCTTTGGAAGCAGTACAGCTCTGGACATCAGTATAGCAGATGTACAGACCTGTATTTCTTTGAGAGAAATCCAGTCTGAAAACCCCGGCTCCAAAATGGTTTCTAAGTTGGTGTTGTTTATTGATCAACTAAATTTATTGATATCCTTCCTAGAATAAACAAATCAAGGAAATATTGGACTGCTCATGTAGAATTCACAATGGTGAGAAATCATGTCCTGTAACATTTGAAGTGTCTATTTGGTGGTGCATGTTTCATTTTTGCATTAAAAAATCTACAGAATGTGATTTCTGGCCAGAAGTTTTTTCAGTGAATGTGCCCTTAAAGTTTATTTGGAAAAAAAAGAGGTCTGGGTGTGATTTTTTTGTAACTCCTGGAGAAGCATTCAAGAGAAAATGAGAAAATCTAAGTGAGAGGAGGCCCCCAAATATCATCTTGAGACTTAAAAGAGCTAGCTTTTAAGATCTAAAAGACTGATAATTATTCATAAAAAAGGTTAGATTTGAGCTTACGGGGCTTTGTGGTGAAAGTTGTTTCACTATAAATTCTAGCCGGTCAAGTTTCTTATGTTTTGAAAGAAATGGTGGTGATTACATTAGAAAGGGCTCTAATCAGAGAGAGTGTGTAAGCAATACCGCAACCGCTCCCCTCTAAAGAGCGGGGCGAGCGGGAGCGGAGCGCTTTGGGAATGCGCGCAAACCGCCGCTATCCTGGGCGCAGCCTGTGCACCGCGTTTTGAGGCAGGAAATCCCTGAGCAGAGTGGACCGATCCGCAAAGGGCCGGTGTAGAACTCCTACGCAGTGTAGCGTAGGCTGAGCCAGAGAGGGGACAAATTACCACTCGTGAGAGATGGTAAAACTCAGGTGCTGTGAAGCTGCCCTCGTCCTTCGAAAATGATTTCGAGTTTTAAGATGGGGCGTCTCTACTTTCACTTCTTTGTTCTTTTTAAGGTTTCTCAAAACCTATTTCACACCACACGGTTGGATGCGCAGCGTTTGGCGGAGTCTAACGGTACTACACACGACTACACAAAATTGTAGTGCTGAGATATGTAAATTGGAGTAGTAAAGAGGGGGGAGATGGTTTTATTGACGGCGGGGTCTTATCCGGAGGATTGAGTACTCGGACTCAGGGCCAAATTTTGATTTTAAAAGTAGTAAAATATAATAATTAAATAAAATATGACTCTAATAAAATATAAGAGCATCCACTATGGGTGCGTTAACGATGTGATTTAGCGTTAGAATAACGCTAAAATCCAGACAGGTCTACTATGGACCTGTTTTAGACATGCGGTCCGTACGACTGCGTCAAATCTTGCACTCCCCTTGTTCAAATCTACGCAAGCCTACGACTTGATTTATCGTAGACTTTTGGCGCATCAAATCGGTCAACAGCCATCAAATGATCTATCTGTATCCATCCCACTCTGCACTCACCACCTTCAATCAAAATCTTCCCTCGTCCCTCAAAATCACAGCTTGTTGATGGTAGCTGTTTATAACTCTGAATTTGCTAAAAAAAACGCATTTTGTTTTAAAAAAAAATGATTCCGTGCGATTGATTTCACCAAGATCGAGCAAGATGTGAGAAAGCTCGATGCTCATTGTCAACACCTGAAGCCATCATTTTGGTTCTTTCTGGCTACCAAGGTAGTCATCATCATAGAAGTGAGCTGGGTGAGGCGTGGTAAGATACTTCAATTCGAGTCTCGACTTTGCCATAGCGTGTATAGTGTTCTAAGAACAGATTATCGTAGTTAAATCCTACGTTACATCATCCCATAGTGGATTTCATGCGGTTAACAACTTAGCTACAACACGCATGATTAAATTTTGCGATCAGGACCGCAAAATTTACGATAAAACACCCTCAACATAGTGGATGCTCTAAGACTCTAGAAGCCCATCACCGAGCTCAGCAAGATAACAAAACAATAATTGGACTCAATAATACTCAATGACAATGATGATAACAAGTGAAGTAAGCTCTTTCTTTGTCTCTGTTATCAAAGAAAAACTAACTAACACAACAAAAACTAACTGATTTACTGCAGTACTCTTAAAGGAAACCAACGACGGACTTAATCATAAAAAACACTATAGCCATTTACTTAATAACACTAACACTTTAAAAGAAAAGAAAAGAAATTACACACTCTCAAGACACACTGAAAGACACAACACACGCGAACACACACAAATTGAACTACAGATGGATTGATGGATGGATGGATTCCCCCCCTTCTCCAGTCAAGTGAAGCCCTCTTTATACCTTTCCTCGATCCCAAACCCCAACTCGATCATTCACATCTCAACTATCTCAACCCCAACCTGTTCTTTTCCCCAGACCGATCATTCTTAAAGTAGTTTTATCATCTCTTCTACTATGTAAGTGTTTTCTCTTCCTTCTCTTATTTGTTTTCTTATATTGTTCATCATCTAATATTGATTGTTAACTTTTCGATCTCCAGCCCTGATTTCATTCTACTTTAATTATGATTTCTCTATAGCGACTGTACCCCAAAATCGATCATCCTATCAATACCATCTTCATCATGCTCTATCCAATTTCGATCTCGAGTTCTGATATCAATTTAGTTTCAACTTTCAAACCTCAACCTCAAGAATCAAACTTTCTATCATCTTTTAATTTCGCTTTTGATCTTTGATTCAATTATGAACTTTGGTGAGTCTTGTCTTCATCTCTGATCTGTTTTCAATTTCGCACCCCACTGACACTTTCAAATTATTTGTTCTAAGTATGCTCAGCATAATCAAGCCTCCTGTCCAATTAATCATTTCGATCTCAGCCCTTGAAGTTGATAACTATTCTATGTATGTTCTTTCTTCTTCCTCTAGTTTTGGATGGTTGCTGACTGCCTTTAACTTATTTGTACATATTCTAGAGTTTGTTTCTAAGCTATTAGCCCAGATCGATCATCCTTATCTCCTTCAGGTGAGGTTCTCTTTGATATGACATTCCTATCAACAAATTCCAAATCGCTTCCAGCCTATTACCACCTTCAGACAGTCCTGTTCACTGGTTTTATTGTTATTTTGTTATTCATTCCTGATCCAGCCCTGTTCTAGGATCTAGTTAACTATTGAGTCTTGAATTTATCAACTCTTGTTCTATTATGTTTCATCCTATGAGTTTCTTTTATTTAGTTGTAAGTTAGAATATTGAAATGAATGTATATGTATTAATGATAAGAGTAACTAGAACAAATATGAGAGTTGAGTATAAAGGGATCCCAGCAAGATCCTTGAATGACTCAGAACTTTCAGGTATATTCCTTGAAAGAAAACTAAACTATAGATGTTTTGTAAGATTAAAGATAGAGCCCTTCTGAGCTTTTGATTACCACACCGGGGCTTGGCCTGCTCCGCTATATAGCAGAGCCATACCCTGTACCCAGGCCTCCAGGTTAATCCTTTGACCTACATTCTCCAAACTTCCACCATACATGAACTCGACTATCTCAAAATGGCAACTGGCGCAAGTACATTCCTTTGAACAATTGATGATGTCCTGTACACCACCCCGTGGACACTTTCTCCAGACTGGCCAGGTTGTGGTTCGCTTTTCAGATCCTTAAGGTACGTCTGTAGGATTTTCTCTCATCAATACTCATTTCAAAATTGAGATTTTGAATTAACGACGTCCTTCTCAATACCTTCGATCCCCATGCCTGCCTCCAAAAACAACTCACAAAGCTTGACTCAAGGTACACTCCAGGTACCAGGTAGGTCATCCGCTAGAAGTCTTCGACCTCCAAGCCCTTCTTGCTCCCAACCCGGTTTCATCATACCTCCAAAAGACTCGCGTACGTCTTTATCTGTCACATCAAGTCCTGGCCATGGATCTCTGGGACCCCTCGGCCTTTGACCTGCATCACCCCGACCTTCAACTCCAACCAGCAAAAAGAATACCGCTCCACAGGCCAAACCAGCTCCAAAAGGAAAAGTAAGTGAACATTGAATAATCAAAGTTAAAAAGTGACCTGACAATGCAACTGTATTTGTCTGCTAGAATCGCTCTTCGGCCAGCAAACAAGCTAGATCATCGTCTACCACTCCATTAGAAGGAGCCTCACCTTTGGCCCAGAGAGTCAGAAAAGATGTAAGTCACTATTCACTATGATATTGTTCTCTCCAACTGCTCCTCCATTTTATATCTTAATTTCTTCTCCTGTTCATCATATTGTTTAGGTCTATGAGGTCCCAACTGGTGTTGACTTGGATCAAGATTCGGAAGTTGAGATGATGGGGACCAGTGGCAAAACTGGCTATATGAAAACTAGGAGTGAAGATGTGAAGAATCTTAAAACATATTTTTATGCACCAAAAGTATGTATCTTGTTTATGTATCTTGTTTCTCATAATATGTTTAATTCCTTTTTGTTTTACCACATGGCTAGCAAAAATGTTTACTTCTCATTGATCATTCATAGGGCCTCAAGTACAAGTGCCAATGGTGTCATGATACGTATTCTGCTGGAAAAAATTCGTATTACGGATTGTGGGGGCATCGGGACGGCAAAGCAAATTGGCCTGCGTGCAAGATGCGTCACAAAGTGATTGCCGCAGGAGTCAATCTACCGCTGTCTTATGAAGAGCAGCTCAAAGCTCAAAGGAACAACAGGAAGGGAAGTTTAAAATCTTAATTCACTGGGCCAAAGTTCTCGGCCGACCTTGTCAATATGATCCTGGTCTTGTGGCTGGTTTGTCATGCTCTGCCATGGGCACGCTTTGAGGATCTGGCTCTTCGAGCCGCGTTTAACGCCGTCAATGACGGTGCTACAATTCGCTCAAGAACTTGGGCAGCAAAACAATCAGTGATCCTCTTTTCTGGATTGCATGACCAGGCTATCAAAACTGTTAAAGTAAGCATCTGTGCCCTTATCCACTTTTCTCGGTTTGATTGCACATTAATATCATTTTTTATATAGGAAAATAAGGGCAAGTTTTGTTTGGTACACGACGTATGGACTACAAAAGGCAACCGATACGCGTTCATTGGAGCTACCACAAATTATATTGATGATGAATGGAATTACAGATCAACACACCTTACCCTGAAGATGGTGGCTTGGCGGCATTTCGGGGCCCTTCTAGCAAGTCCTATTGGATGATTTCTGATTTGTCATGGGATCCATAAGAAGATATGTTCTTTCTCTTTTCATATAATCTTTTCCTTAAGCCATGTCCTGATGATTGTATTTATTTTTTCTTTCCTTCTTACATGCTAGCCCAGGTAACGGACAGCGGCGGTAACAACGGCCCGATGGCTGCTGAGATGCAGTCAATGTTTGAGGGAGCTGATTATCCGTCCTTCTGGAGCGCCCATTCACACCACATAAAGTGCTACGTCCATAAGCTCAACCTCACGGTTGGGCACGGCCTCAAAGTACTTGGCCAGAAGGTAAGCGTTGCAAAGCCTGGAATGCCTCACGGTCACAATCTTCCAATTCCAGCTTTGGAGGCCAACAATGGCAAAGACAAGGTGGATATAGACAACGCAGAATCAGATGAAGACAATGACCGGAATCTACGGGAAAAGCCTGATGGTGTAGATGAAGACGACACTAATAAGGATTTGAACATTGATGGCAAAGTATGTGAAAAGGATGTCGTTGTTGCCCTTGCGCTTGCAAAGGTGAGTTCTAATAGATCCTTTCGTCTCTTCTTTATACTTGATATTTGCTAATGAGCCCTCCTATATCTATTGTGCCGTGCTAGGTTGACACTGTGAGTGGGCAGATCGCCAGCACTGCAGCCAGACAAAGCAACTTCAAGGCACGCTTGACTAGGTTGGGTTACCAAGGCCGCATGCTCAAACAGCCTTCCAAAAATCGCTGGAACAGTCACTACGAGAGTTGCAAGGTCGCTTGCAACGCACAGGAGGTTTGTTGAGCGAATTCTATTCTGTTACAATTTGAAGTTTACAGTTTTACTTTTTATCTATACTTTCTCTCTTGTTCTTTCTAGGTAATCAACTCTATGCTGGCCGCGGATCAAAAAGCGTGTTTTTTTAAAGGGGTCACCATCTCACCTACCAAATGGCATGCAGTGGAATTGGTCAACAAGGTTCTTAAGGTGTGTTTCTCTCTGTTGCTTTTCTTGCCCATAGATATATTGATATATTTGTTAATCATGGTTTGTAGACCTTTGTTTATGCCACAGCCCGTGTTGAAGGCAATGGACCGACTGGGTGTATACTCTTACAGGAATACAAACATGTAATCACTGAGCTGAACAGCCATTGATCCAATGCCACTGAATTTAAAAGCCTTATTACTGCGATCGCCGAGATGAAGAAATGGCTGGCCAAGTACCAGGAAGAGGCACCAATTGTATTCTTCTCGCCACCGTCCTTAACCCTTGGTTCCGCGGCAAATTCTTTTCCATACATTATCCTGATTTCCAGCTTGCTGCAAATTCGGCAATCAAAACAGCTTTTGATTGTGCCTTGCAGGAAACTGACATTCAAGAGCCATCCCCATCGCCTGATGAGGGAAAACCTGACAAGGATCCTGACACATTTGATATATTTGGATCTTCCAACAAGGTAACTGACACATCATCTTCTACCACTGAACTCAAGGGGTATCTGCAAGCGAAATTCCCAATCAAAAAGGATCAGACACCTCTTGGTTGGTGGAAGGTTTGTCCCACTTGTATATATTCTATTTCCATTTCTTTTTTATGTAGTCTGATTCTATTTCTCTCTTGCTCACAACTCACTTTATCTCACAGGAGCATGAACACCAATTTCCAAACCTTGCACGTCTGGCACATGATTAACTTTCCATATTGGCCACGTCATGTGCATGTGAGCGCACCTTTTCTGCCGCGGCCGATATCTGTACTCCATCACGTGGAAATATGCTTCCAGAAACGATGGAGTGTCTTGTTGGTTCTCAGGCCTGGTTGAAGGAAGGGATTGTCCCTGGTGGAGATTTTGAGGAGGCCGCGGAAGGTCTTCAATTCTATATTGATAGCTTGGTTAATCAAAAGGACATCAATGGCTTGGTTAAAAAAAGGGCTAATGTCTTATGTTATCTATTTTTTTTCTTTTTTCTATCAATAGCTACAAAAATCAAATTACTTCCGAAACAACAATTTTTTACATCTTCTTCCTTCTATCAATAGCTACAACAATATAATTCCTAGCTGTGATTTCTTATTTCCTAAATACATGCCGTAAATAAAATTTTTAGGTCCTCTGACGCGCTGTGCGCCGCTATATAGCGCTGTGCGCAGTGATTTAACCACTACGAACCCCCAAGGGAGAAAAAAATTTGAAAAAGAGCGGTTGGGTGCGTAGTGCTTTAGAGCGGCAATTGCGCACCACACCCAAAATCGTCGAATTTTGGGTGCGTAGCGTAGCGGTTGCAATATTGGTGTAAGTAAGTTGGCAACTTACTTCTTGGACAACTCCTCTTGAAGTTTTTGAAATCCAAAGGTTCCTATCTATGGATCCTTATCAAATAGATGTCTTTCAAAGAGTCTTACTACTAAGATCTCAAAAGGTAAGCAAAGATAGCTTGTGCTATGATTTGGTGAAGTTGGTGAGTGACAGTTCTCTTAGAAGTGAACAATAATTCTTTTTTGGATCAACTGATAAGAGTTTCCTTTGTAGAGAAACTAATTATAAAGCAATGAAGAGGTCAAAAAATAGGACAGTAGGTCAAAACTAGTTTCAATTTATCTCCGGGATGGATTTTTAAATCAGAGTAAGGCCCCGTTTGGTATAGCTTACAGCTTTTATAAATACATTAGAAATTAATAGATTATGCAATGCATAATCTATTATTTTATGAAGCCAATTTTTAATTCTGAAATTACATTTTCATGTGTAGCAAAAAACAAATGATGGTGTTTGGTCTTGTTTGGTATTTCACCAAACTTGACTACAGATCAATCAAAATCTATTGTCCTCTTGATTTTTGATCGGTCGATTCAACTTTGGACACAGAGATCAACTCAACTTGGCTATCCATTCAAATCATCACTTTGATGAGTTGATGGAGCTGATCAATAGGGAAATCACTTGGTCCAAGTCTGAACCCCTCAGTCTATATGTTCACCAAGAAACAAGTGATGTTGTTTTTATTTATCACCATTATAAGTGATTGAAATACCAAAGTCAAATTGATGATTATGAAGGTCAAGTTATTAAAAAACAAGGGTTGAACTTGTAAGGATCACATATTTATACAAATCAGAATAGAGTTGATAAACATCAACATTTGAAGTTGCGCGCGTGATGAAGAAATGATTGTTTGTAGTCGGCAAAATTTTGATCTGAAGTGGCAAATCTTGATGCGACAGAGCCCCGAGTTTTGAGGCTTCCTCCGGGTTTATAATGGATTATTGAAACTTGAAAGCTGGTCTAGAGCAGCTTTCAAAATGATGGAAAAAACTAGATTATTGACTATAAAATGGCTTTTGAAAAGAGGGGCAAAGGAGGGCGAAAGCAATAACAAACAAGTTTTTTTGAAAAAGTGTAAAATAGATCATTTTCAAAAAATAATACATTTCTTCCAGTTTTGTAAGCCATACCAAACGGGGCCTAAGTTTGTTGAATTTCTAAAAGTAAAATCTTTATCAAGGCTTTATTGATGTGAGTGTTTTGAAGTATTTCTAAAAAAAGTATAAAGGTTTATAAGATGATGATTCTTTCTACTATTGGAAAGATCCTTTGATTATATATACTTTGACAAATTAGTGATATCATAATGTGGCATTACTATTCTTGCACTTTTGTAGTTACAATTACACAGGTCCTTTAGTCAGTTTGGTTTTGAATCTAAGTTGTCATCTCTACTGTTCCTGGCTTGTTGTAATTGGACATTGTATGATTACTTCTAGCTAGTTAGGGTTCAAATATCATTGGATCCTGACTAGTTAGTTCTTCATTGTTTTTATTTTGATATTTTCACTATTGAAACTTGAGTTTTTTGAGATGCAATATTTTAATTCCATTTTCATGGTTATGAAGATTTCATTGCTAGCTTGTAATCAGTCATTTAACCAATTGGATGTTATTCACAAAATAACTTTTTGTGGTTGACACAAGCTTGCAGATTCTATTTAATACTGAAAGCTTGTTTGTTATTCATTCAAGAATACATTGATAAATGCCACCAAAATGCCCTTGAGGCTCTCCACGGCCTCCTCTGGTTGCCACTTCTCCCATCATAATTCCATCAGATTCCAAAGAGGAATCTCAATTGACATCCATGAAACGTATTCTGATTCCTTGCTGCATCCAAGCTGCTGGAAGAGGAACTGTACTATGTAAAGGCAATAACTTTGAACTCTCATTCACAAACACCTTGCACATCCCTTTGCTTACTGGTAATCTTGTCAGTTTATCTCAACTCTTTGCAAAAAGTTTTGAACATCAATTCTGGCAATAACAAATTTGAGATTTAGAAACCCGGTGTACCTGTTTTAGATGGATCTATCTCAAAAGAAATTTTTGTTCTCAACATTCCCAAGGGTGAGTCCTATGCTTTCTCCTCATCAGCTTTAACATCCTCTGATGATTTGATCCTTCTTCACAGACGTCTTGTTCATTTGAACCATTGAAATATGTCCATGTTGTTCCATTTTCCTCAAACCCAAAGTTCCCCATGCCCAATTTGTATGTTAAGTAGACATCACTGTTTACCATTCTCTGGATCAATTCCATGTCCTACTTCCCCTCTAGAAGTGATTAATAGTGACACTGCGGGGATTATTATGTTTGAGACCTGATTGAGCAAAGTTGTGGTGTCTGAGTCTGCAATAAGTCTCAATTTTCCAATTGGAACCTATTAAAGGCAAGGGGGGGACCTTGTATTTTAATAGGTTTCAATCCAAATTTGAAACTTATTGTGAACTCTGTCACCACATTAAGTTTCACATGATTTGAGTGGACGCATTACTCCCAAAACTATTGGGGGAGGCCATTATTACTTCAAATTGACTGATGGCTTTACAAACTACCGACATGTATATATACTTAAAAACAAGTCAGAGACCTTTTTGTGTTTTATTCAATTCAAGATGTTAGTTGAAAAACAACTTGGTGTTCCCATTAAAGGTTTGGTTAATGATAATGGCAAAGAATGCACTCTTGATGCTCATCCCCATCACTATACTCTACTTTTATGGTTCTTGGTGGGCCTTTTGATGGTATGTGGTCCCATTTTGTGGTCTAAATCCCCCAACAATTAGGTTTTGGTAGCAGCCAAGTTGCGGTAACTTGGATAAGTTTGACTATACAGGGATTTGATTGTGTCCTTATAAGCAAGCGCGCGCATTAGTTCGATGATCTGTCAACGGAGGCTTTCTATTAGTCACCCAGGGATGGATGGGACCATTATGCTGCAAACAAGGCATACTTTTACCTTTAGTCCAAGGCAGATGTCCTATTACACAATGATGTCTCTAGACTTTGATTGATTGAGGTTAGGTACTCACATACCCAGTGCGCTGCGCTGGGGCGCAGTTACCCAAATTCTTGGAGACCCCTGTGGTGCGCTCCAGCGGCGGTAAGCTCAGCGCAGTGGGCCAAAGACTGCGGTCTTTTGCAGTATTTTGCGGAAGGCCAGCGGTATCTTATCATTTTCCAAACGAGAGCATATGGGGAATAGATAGAACCAATGCGCTGTGAAAAGGCGCAGTGGTCAGAAACAAAAAAGGGCCTGCGCTGGTGATTAGCGCAGTTCCGAACTTTCCAAAAAGCCCAGAGCTGAGCCTCAGCAGCCTGCGCTGCGAGTCGGGGGTGTCAGGGAGCTCATCTTCACATGAGCTTGCAAATGCGAGTCTCCGCATCAGCAGCGTGGTATATGCAGAGACCATGTTTGGCCCCAGTGAGTATCATGCGGAAAGTAATGGATACGTGTTGAGAAAGGACTCGGAGTTGACTTAGAACACGGCGCCGCTGGACTATAACCTGGCGAATGTTCCGCGGTCTGAATACCTTTGAAAACATATGCATCATTCGTATGCACCTTCTGCGCAAAAGGTATGGTAAAACTATAGCGCAAGTGAAACTTGAGATCTAGAGTGGCGGTGACGAAATAGTCATCGATCTCAGTTCAGGAACCAGCTTATGATCGAATACTCAGTTGTCGTACTTTGATGAACAACAGGTCCAGAGAGTACATATTTGATGTCTGTTCATGAGCCCTCAAGAGTGATACTCTTTAGTAAAGTGTGTTCGTAGGTTCGAAAACGAACATAGAGTTTAGTGCGGGGAGCAAAGAAGTTTCGTTTTGCACGAAGTGGCAATTGATATGCAACTAAAGCGGTCATCTGGGGACGTGAAGGCCCGTGTACCAGGGAAATACGTTTATTTCTCAGGCCAACCTTGCCCATGCTGATATCATGATTGACGACCGACGTAGCTCTATGGAGGTAGATGTGGACACGTTCCATGGCTGAAAGGTCAGTGGATAGGCTATGTTGAGTGCGCTCCGCAAAGATTGTGGTGGTGAATATGTCACATAGCAAGGTCAACCCGCGGATAAGCCTTAGTTGATGAGAATTCTCTCATGAGACTCTCATCGTAAGCAACTTGAAACCAGTCGAACCAACTACCCTCGGTTTACCAGGGCACCACTGCGACCGCTATGGAGTTTAATACGATTTTCAGTGCTGATTTCGATTACCATCGTTGTCCTCAAACGGGTGAATTGCTTCTGGTATCGCTGTTTGCGTGGATTCCGCGTATCCCAAGTTTGATTCTCTTCACACGGGTATACTGGGTGGTGAGCCTGAGGTATGAGAGTATCACGGTTTTGTAGAATCTCTAATGCCCTCAAGGCTCTGCCTCTTCATAGGTTGGGTTTCAAATCATATCCCCATACAATTCTCAAAGCTCGTCAGGTATTTGACATTGCCTTCTCCAGTCAAGTAGAGACAGCTGTACACCTCCCGTTTGAGCTTTTGCTGCATCACAATTATCGCCAGACGCATACAAGTGCTCCTCCCTTATCGCACCCCCTGAGATTTCCGATATTCTCCTTTTTCCTCAAGGCCTGTGTCGCGTATTGGGCTTAAGTTCATGCGCACTGCTTGACATCATTTCCAGGCACCTTGTGGCCAAGACTCATTCCCACGAAACATTGTCTGTGCATAACTAGACCCCAGCACGCGTTTTCCACCGACGTCGTTTCACCTTCTCGCATCGCACTTTTGCTATTTGACTGTCCACCCTTTTAACTCGTTCTTATCATCCGCTCATCTTATCGTCCTTAGCGTAATCAGTTGACTGATAAATCAAACAACGCCCCATATCTCTCCGCTTGATTCCCTCTCCTAATTTCACTAATCTTTCACTTGTGGTACTTGCCACATTAATTTTATCTTAGCTGAACCTTCGACAACGCCGTCTTCACCTTGTCTTACTTGCCTACACTTTTTCGCCCTTTGTGATTACTTCAACACACCCGTTTTCGACTCCTCGCCATGTCACCTCGAACCCCTTCATATGACGAGAAGCATGATGATATCGACAAGGCCGAGTCTGAATCCTTGCCTTCTTCTCTCCCTATGGGTGTAAACTCCACCACTGTCCCCGGGGGTATCTCCTTCGCAGACGAAAAGCGACCTATCAGCCAAATAGGCGGACTTGAAATCAAGCGTGAACTCACTCTCAGACGAGAACTGACCAAGGACGAAAAAGAATTGGCCAATGCCGGTTACGAACAACTTGAAGCTAAAAAGAAAGCCAAGGCCCTGGAGAGTCGTCCAGCCGATATAGTTGAGTGCCTTGTTCACTCTTTCTCGAGGTTGAGGAGTGTATTTTTCCAACCTTCATGCTTCTATACTGATTTTTTCGCGCCTTATGGCGCATCTTGACATTCCTGCAGACGGAACACAGTCTTACGCCAGCTCAAGTCGCAGAAGCTCACGGCACATCGATCAACCTTGCAAATCCTAGCGCCTCCGGAGGTATCTCGGCGGCTGAAGCTCAAGGTCGTTTGGCCCGTGATGGCCTGAATCAACTAACCCCTCCAAAGAAGAAGAGTGCCCTTCGAAAGGTTCGTGGGAGACCAGGCACTGCTCCCTTCCTTCGCGATTCACATGGTTCACTTGACTGATTCACCAACACATCTTTCGCCCTTTTCCTTCGTAGTATTTCGACTCATTGCTCTCATTGTTCAACGTCTTGTTAATTTTGGCTGGGGTCTTGGAATACGTACTTTTGGCAATTGATTTTGAGAACAACAAAGCAAATGAATATCTGGGTGCCATCTTGATCGCTGTGGCTTTCTTGAATGCATTCATCGAATGTCAGTTTGTCCCACATCACAATCCACTTATAGATTGATGATGTGATACTGTTTACTGATATTATCTTATCTTCACTTTTTACTTTTCAAACGCAGGGTTCCAAGGACAAAAGGCAGATGCCATCTTGGCCTCTTTCTTATCTATGATGCCACCATCCTGCAAAGTGGTTCGCGGAGGTGAAATCAGCTCAATTCCCGCTCAAGAGTTGGTCAAGGGTGACATTGTGTTTGTCAAGATGGGTGACAAAGTTCCGGCAGACTTGGTCTTGTTTGCCGCCACCGAAGTCAAAGTCGACAACTCAAGTGTAATTATTCCTGCCGGCTTCCTATGTTCATGGATTCGCCTAGCTCGAACCACTGATTCTTTCGCGTCTGGTCTTTTTTAGTTGACAGGAGAATCTGAACCTCAAGAAAGGCAGTTGTGTCCCGAAGGAGACCCCGTCCGTGCAGTCGAAGCTCGCAATCTATTATTCAAGTCAGTCCTCTCATGATTCACATTCCGTGCGATCATGTAGTACTAAATACTTCTGTTCCACTTTAGCTCAACGCTGGTAGTTTCCGGGGAAGGCTTCGGAATTGTCGTTCGCACTGGCGATCACACATTTATCGGGCAAATCGCAGGGCTGACTGGAGGAGAGGGCGACAACAAGTTGAGCCGAAATTTCTTACCTTAATCCTCATGGGAATACCGAACTGATCATCATGCTTATTGCTTTGAAAGGAGTCCATTGGCTATGGAAATCGACGACTTTGTTAAAATCATCTCATGCATTGCGGTGCGCCTTCCTTACAATCTTCCATTCACCGAATTATAGCCACTTACTCCTGTGCTGTCATTCAGATATTCACTGCCATCCTGTTCTTCGTTGTCGGTATCAGTACAAGTAAGTAGAAAACATCTTGAATCAATGATATCGCCTTCGCACATATCTGATTCAAACTTCAACATGAAAGCCTACAAGGGCAAAGCGGCCGCCACGGTCACTTTTGCTGTGTCTGTCCTGGTAGCCTGGGTACCTGAAGGCTTACGTGAGTCATGATTCAAATCCCAAGTGTTGCTCACAAACCTCGACTGATTATTATGTCCATCCCTCTAGCTGCTACTGTGACACTCTTACTCTCGATTGCGGCAAAACGTATGGCAAAGGCAAATGTGTTGGTCAAAGATTTACAGGGTGTGGAGACACTTGGCGCGTTGACTGTAAGACCATTCTACCTTGTTTCAACATACAAGGAATAGACGCTGACTATTCCATGATAAACACAGATGTTGGCGACCGATAAAACTGGGACTCTAACAAGGAACGCTATGACTGTAACCGTTAGTATCCAAAACTCAAATTGACTGAGCTTAACATTCGGTCTTCCTGCCAATACTGACGAAGACCCCGTATTGTAGGCTATGTGGACTAACCTCAAGATGCTCAGCGCATTCGAAAGCCACAACGACGATGCTGAAGTCAAAACTTTCACAAAGCATGATGTCGGAGTGCCCGAGATCCTGGAGATATGTACCCTTTGCTCCAAGGTCAAATTCGACAAAACCGATATCCCATTCGAGCGCCGTGAAATTCTTGGTGACGCCACCGAGACCGGTCTGACCCGTTTTGCGGGGAAGAACCTTGAGTATGATCTTGTCAGAGAGAAGCATCCAGAAGTGTTTTCGATCCCTTTCAACAGCACTGCTAAATGGGCACTCGTTGTCGTGAAGAAGCCGCATGATTCTGGTGATTTGACGTTATATCTCAAAGGAGCACCCGAACGTGTTCTTGCCCGTTGCTCTCATGTTTTAGTCAATGGTCAAACCGTTCTACTGACCGACGATGTGAAAAAGCAATATGACGAGGCATACCAATACATGGCATCCCGAGGGCACCGAGTCATCGCGTGCGCGCAGATGTTATTACCTCGAGATGGCTTCCCAGAAGACTTCGCCTTTAGCAAAAAGGATGATAATTGTCCAACGGAAAATTTATGCTTCGTCGGTCTGATTTCTCTCGAGGATCCCCCTAAGCACGGTGTTCGGGAAGCAGTCGGTAAACTCCGGTCCGCAGGTATCAAAGTAGTTATGGTGCGTCTCAATTCCCTCGACTATCTATTGAAACAATAAGATGGCTTACAGACTCATCATATGGCTTATTGTAGGTCACTGGTGATCACCCCCTAACTGCTGAGGTATGTGGACAGTCTTCAGGCGTTCAAGAAAGCACTGGACTGACCACCTATCTTACTGATCTTTCAGGCCATCGCACGAAAGATCAATTTAGTGATCGGGCATACGAAGGAGTCGCTGTCTAAAGCCTCAGGGATCCCAATCGCAGACATTCACGAGGACGAGGTCGACGCAGTTGTTGTCCACGGTGACCAAATTGACAATCTACAGGGCTGGGAATGGGATACTATCCTGAACAAGAATGAGATTGTATTTGCCCGAACCGTAAGTGGTGCACATCAGCTCAAACAACTCAAACAATTGTTTATCCAATTCTAAAGTCTGATTAATCCGAGACAGTCACCGAAACACAAGCTAGAGATCGTGAAGCGAGCTCAAGCTCTTGGTCACATTGTTGGTGTCACTGGTGATGGTACATTGTGTCACTATACTTACAAATATCTAGTTTTATACTGATCAGTTATCTTTCCTCGCCTTGCGTAGGTGTCAACGACTCTCCTGCCTTGAAAAAAGCTGACTTGGGTTCGTACCGTTGACACGAAATTACCTCTGCTTGTTTATAGCATGATGCTTACCTTTGAGTTGTAATTCCTCCGTGGGTGATAGGTATCGCTATGAATATCAGCGGTAGTGACGTATCGAAAGAGGCAGCCAACATGATCTTGCTGGATGACAATTTTGCAAGTGTGGTCGATGGCGTAAGTCCATATAGAAAGTCTTGGAAGTGTTCTCTGCTTTCCGAACTGACTCCTTCCGCGATATAGGTTCGAGAAGGTCGCCTGATCTTCACCAACTTGAAGCGCAGTATTCAATATACCGTCACCCATTCGGTCCCCGAGGTAATCCCTCAGTTGCTCTACGTGATTGTGCCTATCCCGCTTCCACTCTCTGCTATCTTGATTTTGGTTATCGACTTGGTGAGATTCAATCTTTGTGTTTCACTTCTAATCTGTGGGGACTTATCCATACCTGAATCATATAGGGATTCGAACTTTTCGCTGCCCTCTCCTTTGCTTGGGACCGTCCGGAATCCGAGGAAGCTTTGATGACTACTATGCCGCGGAAACCTGTTACTTCCCGTACAATTATGTCCCTCAAGAAGAAGGCCTTGAGACGCACGAAGACTAGCCAAGTCATAGATTCTGAGACCGGAGAACCTCGAGTCCAATCGAAAATGGGTAGTAAACTCTCTGGTGCGCTTGACAACATCAAAAAGCCCTTTTCGAAGTGGTGGTGGGACGACTTGTTTGAGAAATCGGATGGTGAATCCTTGGTAGATGCGTCGCTGCTCAGCTATTCCTACCTACGTGAGTGAACCACGGTCACATGGACAAATCTCGAGCATTAAACACTGATCTAACTTTCAAAACGTTCATAGAGGTCGGAATGATTGAAACAATTGGATGCATGGTCACTTACTTCGTGGTCTTTCAGTGGAATCATTTCACCCCTCGCGACTTACAGCGTGCTCAGAAAGCTGGGGTTTACTTCGCAGATAACTCCCCGCCCTATACTAACGTCAACGGTCGAGTATTGACTAGCGAACAACAGACTGAGGCGCTTGCTCAAGCACAAGGCATGTTTTATATGTCGATTTTCTTGATGCAATGCTTCAACATGTTTGCTGTCAAAGCCAGATTGAAATTTCCATTCGGAAAAGCAGTAGTCGGCAATAAATGGAATTTTGCTGGTGCGATTGCCGGTGCTTTCCTCGCAGTTTTGGTAAGCATTGTTTCTAGAACTGCATCTGGACATACATTGAACCAAGACACTCGTTGACTTATTTTGATTCCGCAGATCATCTACGTTCCTCCTTTCAGAACGGTCTTTGGAGCAAGTTACAAAACCTTGCCCTTGTTCTGGCTGATACCGATTGCTTTTGGGTTCGTAATTCTTGCCTGGGCAAGTGGGAGAGTCCTTGTGATTCGCCGTGGCTTGATGGGAGCCACAGTTAAACCACCTACTGGTTTGATGATGCGTGAGTCTTTTGGCTTTTCACCACCACTCAATATGCGACTTAACTGTGGCTACAACTTTGATATGTACAGATCCTACCAAGCGCACTATGTCAATGCATTCAACCTCTAGAAAGTAGATGAACGCTGGGCGTCAAGCTCTCCCCATCGATCTCATTCCTTACAACGCATTTCTACATCTTCGATTTACACTTCTTGGTCCCTTTTCGGCCGCACCTGTATCACTGCTTCCTTCTTAGTATCATATGTCAAACACAAATGGTAGCGCTGTGCCAGTATGAGTTACCAAGCTGGGGATCAGTAGTTCAGGAGTTTAATTTGCTTGTTGTTTTTAGTTTGCGGTATATGTTCTCAAGTCCTGTTGGTCTGGGTTTTGTTTTTCTTGTTTGATCCGGTGTTTTCAGATTTAGTTAGTTTGTATGTAACCTTTCTACACTCTGATTGTGTATACCCGCGATGGAACTTCACAGTTGGTTTCAAAGTGATGCAGGAGTGTCCAAGTCCAGACGCTTGGTCAACTGCTTACCGTGACTCTTCCTTGTTGGTACGGCTGGCCGAATACTTGGGAAACTATATATATATATGATGCCTGATAATATTTTTTGAACCACATTCAAGGGTTACACCGCAAATGCTTCTCGGAGCATAAATGCTTTGTGGCTGAGCACCGCTGCGGCTGTCTCGTCCGTTCTGCTCAAAGCTCCTGATCGCCGAGCAGACTCGCCTTCTCAAGTGTGAGGACCAGCTATGCTTACAATTATTGCTAATCAGACCTCACATTGTACTTTGAGGTCCTCCCTGATTTCAGTTACAGTTATTCTACTTGGCCCTCAAGAAAAGAAATAAAAACCTTGAATATCCAGTCAAAGTCCCTAGCTTTTTAGGGCCAACGCATAATGGAATAGCTGCAGCTCCGCTGGGGAACTTGTATTTCATGAAGGTTATCTTTCTCAACACTTGACCCACTCAAGTCGCATATGTAAGTGACAAGGAAACTATCAAAGCACAATAATCTTTTATTATCATATCATATCATATCATATCAAGCACAGCCCCCAATCACAAGTGACTGGCAGCCCAGTGCATCCCGGTGAACTCAATTTGTTTTTAATTTGTTTTTAATTGGGTCTTCAACTTACATCATGCAGTCTTGGACGAGTTTTTGGATATTTGTTGACCAGTTATCAGACATATCTTGACTAGTTATTGTAATGTTCTTGACCAGGTGTGGAACAGATCTCCACAAGTTGGCAACCCAATCTTGCAGAGATTCGGGGTATATATATATCTGAGTCATAATGAGCTGACAGATTCAATTCCGCATAAGCACTGGTGAAGTCCAGATTCAATGTCTCTCAAAACCATTGATACAAATTGGCATCATAGACAAATCAAGAGTGTTCAAACAAAAAGGATACCCAAGCGCAATTATATCAGACCATCTACAACATCCTATGACCGTTCAGCCATTCAGCAACGATCATGCATCCATATCCATGCAATCCTCATCCTTGCCTTGCACAAGTCCCTGGCCAAACAACAAAACTCAGTCAAAAGCAAAAACCCCAATCAATTCAAAACTCACCAGATTCATCAATTCAACTGTTGGCAGTGGTTCGCTTTGAATATCAAAAGTACCTTTTTTGTTCTTGATGACAACTAGCTGCCTGTCAACCATGAGAGGAAACCTCCATCGATTAAACATTATAATACAGAAAAACTACATTAAAATAAAAAATACATTTTTTAAAAAAACCCATCACAACTCTATCACTCATGTTTCAAGAGTGTAATAAAATAATAATTCGAAACTAGAAAAGGAGACCATCAAAACCCTTACTACAATAGGACTAACATGGTCCCTTCAAGTTTCCTATACGCCACACTTACCTAGCCCAAGCAACCAAAACACCTACCCTTTGGAAACGAAACCAGGGATCTTCTCCTAAGAAACCAAACCAGACCCTTTTACCACTTGCCTGGATCAGGGTCTGACGCGTGCTTAGTCACAACAAGGACTAACTCGCCTAAAGGTATAAAAAGGTAAGCGATCTTTCGAAAAAGGAAAAAGAGGCATCGAATAAAAACTTAACACACCTTACAAACAAACCCTCCAGCTATTTTTCATTTCGATCCCATCAGCTATCTTTTGTTATCAGAACTTCTCTACTTGTTAACCATTTAGATTAGAACTCCTTTTCGCAAAAAGTCTTTTTAGCTGTGTTGATTCCTTTTCTATTTCTATCATCTTCTATCTTACGAATCCTTCAAAGATCGTTTAACTAGTGTTATTCGACTGAAGATTCAATTCCACTTTCCTCCCTTTTGATTGAACTCATAAGAAGTTCTATCACTACTGCTAAAGCACACCTAAAGCAAGTTTACTTTGGTATTCACTTTAGTAGACGAGTTGGTTCAAAAACTCGTAGTTAATCAATTTCACGAAGATTCGAAACTTAAGATATTTTCATTTTGTAACACGTGAGTATCTACATTTCGTGAAATCTCTCAACTAAACCTGCCTTTTCACTTATCCAACAACATTAGTTAGTCTAAAGCTGACACTGCCCAATGACCGTGTCACACTTAATGACATGATATCCTCCATGCTTGTCATATAGCACTGAGGCATTCAGCAAGTCCGGCAACAAATAGTACAGATTTTTGTGTTTGTCATCATCAGAAAGAGGTACCAATGAATTGACAACAAGGAGTGGATGTTCAGAGCTGGGAAGCTTGATAATGTCAGTGATACAGCCCTTCCATTTACATGAGTCGTGGGAATACAAGATGTAGCTATTTCCAGGCGTCTTCTTGTAAGTGCTATGTGGCTTATTTGAAATGAGGATGCTTGCGGTCACATCAAATTTTGAGCGTGTAGTGTACTCTGCCCCTATATAACCATTCTTTTGAAGGGTCCCAAAGGCAATAGGACTGAGTTTTCTTTCTTTCTAGTCTGTCTGTTGCTTTCTTAAGAGGTATTCTCCAATGATAGGATCATTCTCAAAAGAAGTGTGATTGTTATTGATCATGGCTGGGAAGAAGCTACGTCTGGAATAGTGCTGAAGTAATGACTGGCCCTGCCTTTCTGAGCATGGGAAAAGAAGGTCAGCCAGTTTTCTACAGGTCTGATATTGATATAGAGACATACACTGATTTCCATTTTTACGTGCAGCAACTAGGCTTCCAATGATCCGCCCCCCTGCCCAGCTAGCCATATAGGCAGGTGGCCCAAGAAGGGTGGAGATAGAGCCAATGTGTTCAGCAAAATGCAAATTTGGCTTTTTCATCATATGTGGCCATCCATCTCCCAGGCTAGCTTGGTGCTGTTCAACCAACTTGGTGATCTTTTCACCATCACCATCTTTGAATGACCATAGAGTACATATGTTACCTATTTGGATGAGCTGCAGCAGGCAGTCAAGTATTTTGGAAGAGGGTAATCCAGGCTTGCCAGATTTGAAATGGGGGATCCATGCAAGGACTATATAGACTTTAAAAAAATATTGCCAGTCTGCTGCTTTAGGGGTTGGCCTGGAAGAAGCTATGTCTGGGATAGTGCTGAAGTAACAACTTACCCTGCCGTACTTTATATGTCTGATATTGAGATGGAGACATACACTGATTTCTATTTGTATGTGCCACAACTTGGCTGCCGGGTAGAGTGTTCAAATGGAGTCAATGTGCTCATCAAAAAGGAAACTGGGATTTTCCATCATCTGAGGGTGCCAACTTGTCCTGACACTCCAGAGGAAGTCTGATAATTGGGTCACTTTCAAAATGAATGTGATACTTATGGATGTGGAGATTCCATAGATGTCAAGCACTTGTTCACCACTCAGTTGGGATATTGCCAATGACTGATCAGGAATCTTCTGATGACTGGACAAGATCTACATGATAACTGGTAGATATATGTCACACAGCATGTTGAAAACATATTTGAAAGCAATTAAGAAAAAACTGAAAAAAGGTTCAAGCCATGGGATGCACTGGGCTGCAAGTCACTTGTGATTGGGGGCTGTGAAGCATGACTCAGAATTAAAAGGTGATCTGCACACACCTACGAGTGTTCAAGACGGACGGACATAGAATAGGTTCAATGATCATTTGGATGGACGCCAGTCAACACATCAGCATTTAAGAAATTGATTACAGAATGCCTTACACCACAAGGTACAATTACTTTTCCTATATGATCCTCAAAGATGGGAAAAGAAAACCGTCCCGATCCATCCACGCTATTCTTCACAACCTTCTCCATTTGCACCCAAGCCTTAAAAGTACCGTGCATGCCACCTACTACCACATACGCCAACGTCTCATCTGAACACTCCTCTACCCCAATTTCCTCTTGTATTAAACGTGCTCTTCCACAATAAGCAGTGCATGATTCATTTGATTTCATTGTAAGTTGTCTTAATCTTTCTTTAGCCGCATCATCCCACCCTACCGGCAATACTACGTTCTGCATTTCTAACATCACTTGATCCCACGTCTTACCACCAAAGTTTCTCTCAGATTGTCAACACCATGATGAAGCTGGGTCGTTCGCCAAAACCAAAGGTAGTATGCGAAATCGATCTTCAGGTCGATCAATTTGTTTAACTCTGAATATGGATTCCATCTGATACTGCCATAATCTAAAAGCTGGTATGTCGCCAAAGGCCCCCTTGTACTGAGGCCAATCGCTCGTTCGAAACTTAGACAAGTTGACGGTTGAAGCCACAGGAGCTTGAGCCGTCTCAGGAACGGAAGGAAGTGAAGCTGGTACATGGAAGAGATTTCCACGGGTGTGGACTGCAGGTGTCGAGGTGAAAATGTGAGCAGCTTGATCGACGTTCCCTAAGGAAGGATCGACATGTGGCGGTTGTTGCGTTGATGTGGCATCCTCAGATGATCCGTTGGTTGTCTCCCCCACCGGTGGCTTCTGTTGAGCTAATAGATCCGCCAAAAGTTTTCGAATTTCAGCCATTTCATCTTGCAAACTTGCATTATCATGACGAAGTTGATCATTTTCAGCTTTCGTGCGCGTAACATCGTCATTCTCAGTCAGTGACGAAGTAGACTGCTGTTCCATGACTTGACCCGTTAAGCTGGGTTCGGAAGCAAGAATGGACAGTTGAGGATTGAAGGACCCTGGAACACTACGACGTGGTTTAGAACGCGGTAGCGGGGCACGTATAGCTGGGGCTGAATCGACAGAGATCTGATTGAGTGTAAGAGTGCCTGGTAGTGGCCAAGTAGCCGTCACAACTGGATACCCTTGCGGATTTGGCGGGTTGACAATCAAGTCCCACTGAGACTGTATGAAAGGGAGTCCGGCTGAAGTGAGATTGGTAGCCAGAGGCGCTGAAGCCGCACGTATGGGACTGTGCAGAGCAGTTCCAGGCGGTCGGTGATACGAAGCTGGTGAAGCTGGTTGCTGATGACGACCGGGAAAGATAATACATTCCGTATTGTTGACTCGATTTAAAGTTTCTCCGGGATTTTGTTGGGTGGATCGCGGGAGAGCAGGATTGTCACTACTAGACATGGAAGTCTCGCAGGACGCAGTAGTCACAGGAAGATTCGGACAGGCTGACAGGAACAGGAATACCGGATACAGGAAAGTACAAAAAAAAACTTGTGAAAAAATGTTTGAATTAATTTCGCCGAGTGGCGTCAAATAGTGATTGGTGTATCGAATCCGAGTGATCGTCTTTGATGGGTGTAGTTCAAAAAAGTGTAAGGTACGAGTTATCGTAACCTTTACTGAGACAGATTCTCACAGGCCAAAGCCAAGACTGAACTATCACCACGTATATATATTCCTGATATAGGCCTAAACAACACAGAATCAATATAAAGACTACTAATCGAGAGAAGGAGGAAATGGGAACCTCCACAAGGAGTCCTACCTAAACAACACAGAATCGATATAAAGACTACTAATTGAGAGAAGGAGGAAATGGGAACCTCGAAGAAAAAGGGGTGTAGTTCAAAAAAGTGTAAGGTACGAGTTATCGTAACCTTCACTGAGACAGATTCTCACAGGCCAAAGCCGAGACTGAACTATCACCACGTATATATATTCCTGATATAGGCCTAAACAACACAGAATCAATATAAAGACTACTAATCGAGAGAAGGAGGAAATGGGAACCTCCACAAGGAGTCCTACCTAAACAACACAGAATCAATATAAAGACTACTAATTGAGAGAAGGAGGAAATGGGAACCTCGAAGAAAAAGGGGTGTAGTTCAAAAAAGTGTAAGGTACGAGTTATCGTAACCTTCACTGAGACAGATTCTCACAGGCCAAAGCTGAGACTGAACTATCACCACGTATATATATTCCTGATATAGGCCTAAACAACACAGAATCAATATAAAGACTACTAATCGAGAGAAGGAGGAAATGGGAACCTCCACAAGGAGTCCTACCTAAACAACACAGAATCAATATAAAGACTACTAATCGAGAGAAGGAGGAAATGTGAACCTCGAAGAAAAAGAGACAACAGAAAGGAAACTCTACATCTAACTATAAGCACACTAAACTAACATGTGTGTGAACTATACACCTGTAATGTTGTGACACCTAACTCCTCCCTTACAGATGGTTGGATGAGTCAGAATTGCTTGGTGAAGCGTCGTCCTCCGGAACTGCTCTCTTCAGATCCGCCTTCACCCTATCATGTTTCTCCTGTCTAGAATGGACAGTTCAAGTATCATGGGTGGTCGAGACTCCCTCTCCTGATATGGCTGCCAGTAGTTGGCTTGAGTCATCCACCCTCTGCTGATTCTGGCCTTGCTGGGCGTTTGGCGCAGATGTGTTTCTTGGTACGGAGCTTGGCGTTTTAACGGGCTCGTCATATTCCATCGCTACCATCGAGCCGTATTGATTGTTAAACTCTCCGATCAGGCGTCTAGCAGCCGGGCCGTTCTTATTGTCCAAGGCTCTCGTCAATGCTTCCAAGATTGCCCGACTCCCACTGGTGGGCTCGTTGGGCTCCTTGCCAGAGGAACTTCTGAAAGCTATCCAAACCAGAATGGAAATAAAGGCAATGTAAGTTCCATGTGTCTATTTCCTTTTATCCTGGTCTCTCTGTTGCATAGTGCTGGGTTAACCTCCACCCTATCCCTGCAAGGATTGCAGGGTAAACAAACTGAAAAGTTACTTTCAACCAGGTACTACTGGGATACGACGATTTACTGTCCACCTGACTACGTCTTGTGACTAGCGCCATTGGCTGCTTCAAGTTTGTTTAGCGCTACTAGCAGCTCTTACTGTTTTGATCGGGTGACTGACTGCATGTGCTTCCGTCTTCTCCAGGCGCATAGGCAGCAGCCCTGGACTAGCTACGATCACTATAGAATGTGGCGCTATTAGCAGCCTGCTTCTACGATTACAGTTCGCTGGAGCTGATTCTGGCGCTATGAGCTTCCTTAAAGCAATTACACAGGTAGAACACGGTGACGAAGGGAAAACCCTCTCTTGCTAAGACAGGTATATTGGGGAGAACTCTGCCCATGATAAAGGAAGGAACTTAGAATAGGAAATGAGTCAACCTACCATCTAAAGGTACGCCGTCTTGTTCCACTTGGCTTGTTGATCCTTTCCCCTTCATCAACCTCTCCTGTTGACGTCTCTCTATAATTCCCTCGCCATCTCTATCTTTCAAAGTTCTCGACGTTTAACTTCGAGCGGTTTGATGTCTTCTGGATTCGAGTCCGAGTCTTTGCCGTCTAAATTGATCTCCTCTTGTAAGACATCTCGGGTTTGACTCTTGGCTGCTTCGACTAGAGATTGCTGATTTTCTTCTTGTCCTTTTGATCTTGGGGCTCTGGACTCTGCTCTTCTTTGACGCTCTTCAGCTTGTTCCTTTTCTTTTGCTATCTTTGTCGCTCTCTTGTCTTCCTCTTGTTTAGACCTAGAGACCATTTCTTGACGTTGAATTTTATCTTTTAGTAAAGAAGCTTGTTGATGTATGTTCATTCAATCAATGTTATAAAATTTGGTTGGAGACGGGTTTTAAGATGATGTATTTTTAAAAGAAAAAAGAAAAGGAAAAGGAATTAGATGTCCTAATAAAAGGTTATAGAGTGCTTTTACTTCGGAGATCTATGAAGATGGTGTCTACAGAGAGGGCAACTGAGATGGTAGGCTTCTAGGAGAAAAAAAAATTTCCCCTATTGAACCACTAAAGAATGGAACACCACACCATTGTGGTTGCGAGCCCCAAGTTCTTCTCGGGGGCCTCTATCTCTCCTGACACCTCTCTTACCCGTTGTAATGGACTGTACTTTACCGCCTCGGTCTTTGGGTAAATTACCAATATCTCTTCGACTGTTGCCATATTCAAAAAACGTATCATGGACGCTGGAGTCGAAATATTCTTATGTGACTGTCAAACATTATTTAGTCCCGCTTGCCCTTTCATTGTGTTTACCAAGTCCGAAATCTAGCAAATGAATGTCAGCTGAATTCCTGATGGATAGATCATAAGTGCGACTTACAAGCCCAACTGTGAGAGAGAAAGTTTCCTTTAAGCGCTTAATGTCAGTTCCTGGCCCCTGTGTGCGCAAAGTACAGATTTGTCACTGATCAAGCCACTTGCTTAAGTCAAAGAAAAGTACATTTACATACCGCATGATTGTAAAAGTACTTCAGCCAATAGTTTTTGACTTCTAGGTAGAAGTCTTTGGCCACACAATGACCCAATTGTCCTGTTGGTGAGATCAACAGCGAGTGCAGAAGGACGTGTGATAGGGGTCTTGGGAGTACTTTAGTGAGGAGTCGAATGAGACGTGGGAGATACCTGGAGTAATGGGTCAGGCCGCTCAGGCCCTGAGCCATGACACTCCACATTTTCCACATGAGTAGGAGCCGACCAATATCTCCATCGGACATCGCACGATTGGCTTCAATCACTGTTGCGAAGTCTCGGATACGTAGTAACAAGTGGAGCTTCTTGATTTCCTTTTGCCGACGGGCCTTACGGAGAGCCTGGCCCAATAAGAATTGTGTAAATACTTTTTCTATGGTCTGTTCAAAGGTTTCAACAGACATATCAATGGGTTTGTTGACTGTTCCTGCAGCAAGACCCAGAACTGAACTGCAAATTGAACCAACCGTAAGTTAATTACTCAGCTTGGACATATGAAGCTCTGTTGCAATGAATGACTTACAAGAGACAAGCAGTCAGAGTCGCCTCATGAGCCTGTTCAATGGTTTGGATCATCGAGGTAAAATCCTTTTTGGCGGTAGGTCTCTCTTTCTTTCCACCAAGCTCCACTACAGTTTGCCAAGCACCTAGATCAGTCTTTCATTGGGATTACCCCAATGGTGTAATAAGATAGCTTGTGAGATATTCCACAAGGTGTGACCAGCGCCTGGAATCATTAACAAGTGTCCAAGGCTTTCTTCCAATGATTTCGATGGTACTTGTTGGCTTTTGAGGCCTGAGAAATTGAGATGTGTACCCAGATCACCTTCAACCATTTGCAATCTCTTCGCAAAGTCCTCGGGGAGTAGGCCACTTTGTTTGATCAGTTCATTGCAAAGCAAAGCAATTCCATCCGAGCCGTTGTCAGAAGAGTCCATGAGTTTGAGCATGTCAATTTTTGGTTTCTTGGCTTTGATCTGATCGATTGGTGGTAGATTTAATACTGCCACACCTTTGTATTTCTCTTTCTTTTTCATGTAACGTAGAAGGACTCAAGCGGCTTGAGTCTTCAACGTTAAGACCCATCGGTTTTGCTCGATTTTTGTTGGAATGAATTCGGCAGGCTTAACCACGTTATTGAGGTCTTGTATCAGGTTTTGTTGGAAAGAAGTGACACTGCACTCGTCGGGTTTGAGACCGGAGATCAGACTGGGATTGAGGTAGTGAACATAACCCCAAGTTCCGTGATATGTCTTACTGGTTGCATCAACTCGTCGACTGTGTACTCGTTCCATCATGTCAATATTATCAATACATATGATGAAACCAAATGTAGCAGCTGATTTTATCTTCTTTTTGATCGTGAGGGCTTTTTCTTTGGCTAATACTAATAGACCACGCAGTGCTGATTTTCTACATGAACTGAGGCCGATTTGATAAAGATAGTGGTTTACTCGTTCAGAGACACCACAAGCAAGAAAAGTGATTGTGTTCTCCACCTGAAGGCCATTTTTCAACGGTTGCAACCGTAAGCTATCATCTGAATTGTGGTCAAAGCAATCTACCATTAAATCACAAATTTAAAAAGGTCCACTGCGTCTACCACCTCCGTTCTCGACGTCGAGAAGGGTAGATTGGTCGAAGTTTGGTGAGGGAAAGCTCTTTTCAAAAAAACAAAATCTTCCGCTCATCAAAAACCTCAGCAACCCTAAGCAACCCTAAGGTTGCCTAAGCTATTTGAAAACCTGTACCGCTCAGACCTGCGCATCAACTCACCACCTGATTTTCTTACTGAACAACTCATCTCTTGGGTCCCATTCTTTTGACTCGTTTGATTTCATTCTCATCTACAGACCGAATACAACGAATTTACCAAAACTACCATCAATGAACACAACTCTAGTAATATCAGCTCAACCGGTAGTCAGAACAACAAGCCTAGCTCAAGTACTTCACCCACCTTAACTTTTACCAATAGCAACTATTATAAAGTAAACATCATCTCATTAGCACCTTCGGAAGCTGAATGAACACCTATTACTACTACAACTCATCATCATTCAACTATTGATTCACCTTATTCTGGTCCAACTCTCAAAGTCATTCGATCTCATAGAGTGTCTCTTTAAGTGCTTCAGCTGTCTTCACAGCACCCAGCCAGTCATTATGTAATGCTATACCTTTTCTTGTATTCTCTTATAAGACGTATTGAATCT